GCATGCTATTCTAGCTAACGCCACCAGGATCATTTGCTTTTTGCTCCGGTAAGCTTTTGTTTTATATAATGTTAGTTACAATGATTAAGAATAGTTATATTAACCAGTAAGTGTTAAAATACAACAATTTGTTTAATGATTAAGTTTACACCACTTACCAGTCAAATATTCCTCGCAATCTCTGAATAACATAACCAAATACAGTCTATTGATTCTCTCGAGCTGTGAGATACCGGTGCTTATATCGCGGCTAACACTCATCTTGTTAATTAACCGGGTCTTAATTGAAATGGATTGTGGTGGGTCATTCATTTTAATAGTTTAATTTTCTACAATATGTCTAAACGTTTATCTTAACAATTATGCAATTAATAAAATATATTTTTTTAAACAAACTTATATTTGCAGTATCATTTGATTTGATATATTGTTTTTTAAAAATATTTTTAGATTTATATGGAAACAAATTGACTATTTTATTGAGAAATCATTAGAAATAATAATAATATTATTATTATTATTAAACAAAGATTTATTAATATAAGTATTTGAATGTACATAATGTATATGTAATGTTATTATTGATGCCATTTATATTTACTGTGATTTCATTTAAGTAAATGCTATTATGTAAACTAATTTTAGCATTACTTTGTAATAATCTGCCAATGTAATTGCCTTGATATGATTTATGATATAAAGCATTATTATTGCTGTTAATGGAAAGCGAATTGTCAAATTATTTATTCAGATATGATTTATTATTGAATATTAAGTACCTGTATGAAAAAGTTTGCAAATACTGTAATTATAAAGATGGTGTAATACTGTACCATACATTTATTCAAGTATTATAATAAATACTTAAACTATAAAATGACTTTTGAAATACTTGCTAACTTTTTTTGATTTCAAACACGCGTGTTAATTTTCAAATTATAATTATGCGTACAAAAATATTTATTCTTTTCAATATGAATATATTCATAGATTTTATACAGTCAAATTGTTGTGAATTATTTAATTTATTTTTTATACCTTACATTATATATCTTAAGTTATAATGTTTACTCAACACATTCATAATAAGGAAATAATTAGCGCCAGCGATACACACGTATTGATAGAACTCGTAGTATTATTCACGAATCCTCAACTTAAGTTTTATATAATTTAGTTATTGTTAGATAAAAATTAAACACAATTTTGATTATGATATGAACGCATAGCTATCGTATTAATCGACAGCACGGATACCCTGATCCGTATACTGCAAGCACCACCTATATTATACACCAAATCAAGCCAATCCATATCAATTACCTATATATACAAAATAATGATAATACTGTATAACTATAATAATAATAATAATAATAATAATAATATTTTTTGTAATGGTTCAAGAAATCGCTTACTTAATCACATCAACTCAATATATTCATGATTAGTATATAATTAACGCCAGCGATACACACGTATTGATAGAACTCTATGTAATTCATTGGAAACAAGTCATAGCAATAGAAACCAATGGACGGACCGCTCAGGCGTTCAATGAGTGCCACAATTTTGAGCCTTAAATGTATAGCAATTTGACGATTAGTTACACTTTTGTATAGTAGTGGACACGACTTATGGGCGGCTTTCGTGATCCAACTGCTCATTGCAATAAAGGCAACTACAGCTGAAATATTAATTAATGCCATGATAACACCCACTATTTTTAAGTGTACAGGTGTGTCCTTATGTTGTATGAAATATATGCCCATTTCCATGGCTGGGGTTGACATATAATAGATAATAAATATTAGGTATTTGATTGTATGATTGCAATCTCGGGTTAGTTTTGCGAAATAATTGTGTTCATTGAGTGCCTCTAATAGTATACAATGGCTCATAAGGTATTTGTGCGACAATTTGGAGGAAACTTGTATTTTTTCATACACTTCGTTGAATTGAAATGTCAAATATAAACATACCCCGTACCATATGGGCACCCCTATCCATACTATACCCAATGCTTGGTATATGGTAATTTGGTCAATTAAAACATTAATGAACACCATGATAATATTTGCGTCCACAACCATATAGACTTCAATTGTCTGTAATATGTTGACTATACTGATGACAGTAATCGTTGTAATAATGATCGCATGGATCATGTATTTGGCGAATATATTGACTCGTTTTGTCAATTGTCTCAAATGATAGGCATTTAGGGGGTATTTATCGCGTCTGTGTTTTACAGTTGCGATGAGTGACATGACGTGCAAAGTGTGGGTCAGATCCTGATATGTGAACAGACATCCGACGGTAAACACCGATAGGGCTATCAAACTGAGCCCTGTGTCGGCCAACAGACTGTTAGCCAGATTGAATTGAATTGAAATTTCAAATATAAACAAATCCCGTACCATATGGGCACACCTATCCATAATATACCAAATGTTTGATATATGACAATTTGGGCAATTAAAACATTAGTCAACACCAAGATTATATTTGTGTCTACATCCATATAGACTTCAATTGTCAGTAATATGTGGACACTACTGATGACAGTACAGGGGTGTCGGGTATTATTTCGGAGGATTTATTTATATAAAAATATTTATAATACAACTCTTTTTGAATGCAAAACATTTTCTATATGATGACCACCTCTCTGGACGACCAAACGGCACCGGTATTTCCAACTTATCATAGCCCTCCTAATCGTGGCCAGCGATAGCTTCCGCCACTCGGTTTGCGTAACTTTCCAGAGCTCATCAGTGTTTGCGGGTTTGTGTTTGAATAAGGCCTGCTTTAACAGACCAAACACACAGAAATCCATTAATGCGATGTCTGGACTCTTCACTGGGATATCATTTGCGGGGATAAAATTAATGCCATATTTGACTTTTAATTGAATTAATGTTTGCATTGTTTGGCGCGAAAAGTGACTGCTTGCCTTGTCCTGGTGAAACCACAAGTGTTTGTGGTCATCTTTATGGTAAAGTCTAGATAACTGTCTAAAGACTTGCTTTAAAACATTGCAATAATAACCGGAATTGATTTTCACTTTTGGGTCAACTTTTATTAGTTTTAATTTACCCAAATATGTGACACAAGCGACAATCATGAACCCGCCGGGATGTCTTTCACGCAATTTAACATAATTTTTATCATCCATTTGTCCTCTCCTGATATAATAGACACCTCTGACCACCGGTATTAGACATATAAATGTAAGCTTCATCTAAAGTGGCCAAAAATTTATAACGATTTTTGGCTAAATATAGACCCTTTTTGGATTCGTTTCCAAAAACAAAACTTTTGTTGGGAAGCAATCGGTAGAAGAGCGCCGTTTCATCTAAATTATAGGTATCCTCTGGTTTATAGCCATCAATCAATTAATCCAATTCTTGTTTCCAGCTCTCAATCACTGATTCATTCACTGAATCAGATTCTCCGCGTTCTGTGATAAACAAAATGTTATGTCTTTTCTTGAAACCACTGAACCAGCCGTCACTTCCTTTGAAGTCATTGTAACCCATTTTGATGGCAAAATCGATGGCTTTGGTCTTTATCTGATCCGAAGGCAAACTAATCTTTTGGGCTCTCATTTGGCGCATCCATTCAACGACTGCCTCTTCAACGTCAGGATAAGAGGATATCTTCACATTCGCCGCAGTTTTGGTCAACTTTTTGCTCAAACACTCGTATTTTCTGATGATTTTGTCCTTTTCTTTCATAATTTGATTCAAATGTGATTTACTCGTGAGTTTGTGGGCACTAATGACAGCAGATCTGTCACCACTCAACTCAAACTCTTTGATTATCTCATACTTCTCTTTAAGAAGTCGTGTTTGCCTCTTATGTCCAGGCATTTTGACCACAATTTAAAAATACATATAATTTATGATCACTTTTACATACACTTTATGATCACTTTACACGTGTTTGTAAAATAAGTACAGTTTTATGATTGTTTTTAAGTCACTTTCAATTTATGCGTTTTTTCTGCATTTTAGTAATAAATTGCAGTTTCTTTGAAATATTAGTTCATAAAATCCAATGCGTTTCCTATAAACTTATATTCATTTGTACCCTGAAATTGGTTCATAATATACAGCGGTTCATAAAATCAAGGTTCATAAAAACCAGCCGATTTTAACATTAGATCTATGGCAAGGGAATTTGGTTCTCAAAAATAGTTCATAACTTCCAGATGTTCATAACATCGAGGTACATAAAATGAAGCGCCAAGTGTATTACCAAAGGTCTATTAAATAATTATAGTGGGGTGTGAACTGGGGGAGTACCCTGATTAGGTTTAATGGGAAACGTGAGTATGTCTGTAAAACTACCTGTGCATTCACAGTACCGGTAGACTAGTAAATTACTGTACAAATACCTGTACTAATTTACATTGTACATTACGTTATACACTTGAAAATAACTTTTATTTAATTAATAAATTTTATAATGATAACAATTATTGGCACTAGGTAAAAGTTTAAAAACTTTATTTTCGGGCTCAACGCCCACGATGACCCGCCGGGGCGTGTGGTATATGTGTGTCCCCAACGACACCGGTATGTCTGTGCGGACGGTAGTGACCAACCGATAGTTTTTGATGATATGCGTCAAACATAACTTAGCCTCTAATAAGGCGAACCTCATTCCCACGCAATGTCGGGGCCCCGACCCGAATGGTACGTACGTGTAGTCAATCAACTTATGCCGGTTTGCGGGCAAAAAATCTTTCGGGAATAAAGGTCTCGGGATTCGGGAAGTACTGTGCATATCTTTAATTTGTTTATAAATAATAGCCGGATAATTAATTTTGTATGTATTAATTTATTTACTACTATTTGTCTGTATTATACAAACAAACATATTTTTCATTTAATAGTAAAAATTTAATAGCTTTTTATTTATCACCAAATAAATAATTTACAAAAAAAAAGTTTATGAAGTATGAAATAAAATCTTAATAAAACACTTAACAATTATCGCTTCTGTATGCCTACGATGACCCTAAGGGGGGCGTGTATTATGGAATTCCTGGGCAACGCCACCGGGATATCTGTATTAGTTGTTGTGATAAATTTATAATTCTTCATAATATGTGCTAATCCCAGCTTAGCCTCCATTAACGCGAACCTCATTCCCACGCAATGTCGGGGACCCCCACCAAAAGGTGTATAACTATACGGAACTATTTTATGTCTATTTTCGGGCAAAAATCTTTCGGGACTAAAGGTCTTTGGGTTCGGGAAGTACTCCTCCAAGTGATGGATCCCATGATTGGGTATTTCGATGCGTTGACCCTTTTTGATAGTAATCCCGGTGTCGCCTAACTTGTAGTCTTCGTTGGCATACCTCCAGAGNTCATTACAACACAAAAAGTGCTAAAATAACAAAATTTATTATACATATAACAATGGAAAATATTGTAAATATTGGACATGGATTGACATAATATTCAGCTATTATCCTTGACATTAATATCATGAATAATTTTACTCAAATCACTATTTTTGTCATACCTTTAATTTACTTTACCGTATCCTGATATTTATGCACTAAATTTTAAGCCTTTAGAAACTTGTAAACAATTGTAATAAAAATTTCTATCAATTATACACAAGTTATACTTTAACAACATACTTAATATCATTTAGCACTTTAGCACTAAATCACTATCACTTTAGCATTTCTTATCCAGTACTGGAATAAAACAGTAATTTATCTTTAAGAATTGACTTACGACTTACAATATGTTACATAATTAATATTAAACATAAAATTAGTTATTTGATAAGCTATGCCAAATTGATTACAAACTAAATTTACAAAACCAAAGAAGTGTATAGTCAAAATGTATACAATTAGTAAGCATATGGTAATGGGTAATGATATTCGACTTCTTCGATCACATAATCAGGCGGATAGTACGGCACGTGGTGTTCAACCACTATCTCCTGGATGGGTGGGAAGAATAGATCAAGAAATCCACGCTTTTCTCGTAATTTAGATCCAATAGGTTTGGAATCGACTCTCGATTCTTGAAATAAGACTAGTTGTGAACACAATGAGAATTATTATTTATTTTTAACTATAATTTGTTAAATGCTTACCCATACAATATGCTACTAAAAGTAATAATAATATTTTATTCAAAGCCATTGTATGCGAAGTTGAATCTTACAAATGATCAAAACTAACTTGTACAATAGATTTATATTCAGTTTACATTTTGTTCTCTATTATAAATTACTTGTTGTTATGTCTGTTCAACATTTGTTTTATTGGAAACAAATCAAATATGTCAAATATCTGGTTAAGATTAATTTAAATTTTATTTGTTATTTTAATAAATAATAATATTAATTCAATTCATAAATGTTTAATAAAAACATAACTATTTTAAGTTATTATGCACTAAACTTAACGTAATAATTTACTAAAAACCTTGAATTTGGTAAATCTTTCACATTTAAAAT